TTTTACCTCAAAAATAATTCAATAATGAAAGGGTCCTGGAACTTTATTTATTTCTGTCACCATTCCTTCAAGCTGTGAAAATTACTGATTGTGATTGTAAGTTATAAGTAAGTTTTAAATGACCTGTCCTCGTAGGTAAATTATACAAGCTTTGTAAATCGAATAGGACATTTTGCAACTGTATTACTCAAAGATTAAGAATTCATGTGGTTTTAGATATGGGGTAGATATTGGAGTTGTGCCTTGAACCAGTGTTAATATTTGGTCCCTCTAGTGGAGAATTTCTGCATTCAGTATATGCAGATCATATCTGCAACAACAGTGTTCTTTACTACTTTGGTGACTTTTTCCGGTTTTCTAAACACATGCTAAAGAGCTTTTTTTTAAAAAAATTTTTCATTTGCTCAGTTATGTTTTTCAATCGGTTTGATTAAAATAAAAACCCTTTAAAAATTATGTTTAGAAACAGAACTAATGTAGATGAGTACCAAAATTTTTATTGTCTTTAATATAAGATACCAATTTTTAAGAAAATAATTCATTTCTGTTAGGCTTAACAAAATAATGAAAAAGGAAAAAAAGATTGCTTTTTATAACTTTGGAACAACCAAGGACAACATGCAGTTAGTGCAAATATGGACTTGATCTTTAAAATTTTCACGCTTTTAGTAAAGCAATAATAAGAAATTATTTAAAATATTCAAATAAAATATTATCTAGTATTACATTTATTAGTCATTTGATTTATTTTAGTGCCGGCCGGCCTGGGTAGGGGGCAGGGAACTGTCCTTGCTTTAGAAAGGTCCTGGGTTCGAATCCCGGGCAAGGCATGGATGTTTCCTTCTCTCTCTGTTTTCCATGTCCTTTCTCCTTTGTGTGTGAATGTGACGCACCCTATAAACGGGTTGTGGTTGTGTGAATGACGTGGCAGAAGTCGAATTCCTGGCCATAGATGGCGCCACTGAAAGAAAAACAGGAAGAATCGCACCCCCACAGTCTAAAACAGGCATACGACAAAAAATTTTATTTCAGTAAGATAACTGTATAAACTGAATTTTAATTGCATGTATATCATGGATATCCAAATATAATGAACTCACAAGTTCAGAAGAAAAGAACTCAGAATGAGTATATTCCAATGAATAACCTCCAGTGTTCCAAGGTATAACACTATGTTGTATCTTGGCTTGGGCTATTTTCTTATGTAGTTTTTTTTCCTGAAGTATATGACAGAATTTGTCCATTAAAAAATTAATTTATGGACAAACTTAAATTTTAATTATTATTTTTGTACACAAAAAATTAAAAATAAAAATTGTCAAAGAACAACACTCTCCCCCACACTTGGATGATTCAAAAATGGGTGAAGTTTAAAATCTAGTTCCGGAACCAAAATTTTTAAGAAAAAAAAAAGGAATTGGCTTAAAAATGTTGTCCAATTAAAACATTTGTTTCTGAATATCTAAATAGTATGTTTATAGTATAAAAAAAAGGTTATTCTAATAAGAATTTAACAACTGTTAAAATATGTGCATAACACTTAAAGGCAATTTAAAATTCGAAAGTATAAGGAGATTAAAATATTTTTTGAATAACAGACTATTTCTTATGTAGTATTTTAAGACAAGCAATATTCAGTTATAGTTTAATAAGACACGAACAGTATCTTTTAATAAATATTTTTCGTAACAGTTAATGGTGAGTTGGGGGAACATTTTAATTAAATTTTTTTTGTTTCATTATGGAAAACATAAATATAAAGTTTTCGTATACTTTATAATCACGAGGGGAAAAAGAAAGTTAAACCTGAATTTTTTTTAGAAGTTTTTTGGAAGAGATTTCCTACATTTATTTTTCAAATAGTATTTGAAATTTATTCCTTAGACGGTTTTTTAAAGCTGATACAGCTCCGGAAAAAAGTATAGATGGAATGCATCGCGGTTAACATATATTTCGATCTTGGGAAAATTATAAAATTTTATTCAATCCAAAAAATTGTTTGCTGCGGAAGATTTTAAAAATCGTTTTTTTTTCTTATATATATATATATATATAGATATAGATATAATATAATATACAATTAATAATAATTCTTCGATTATTCTAAGAAGTCAAAAATTAAACATAGTTTCTGTGATGAGAGGACGTTGAAAAATATAATATCCTGTAAAACGTGATTTAAGTTTGAGGATGCGTATTTTCCATCGAAACTTCTGCAAGTTGAATAATTTTTTTTACACACCTAAATATAAGTAAATAAAATCAAATCAAATCCGAAATTTAAAAAAAAAAAAATGCTCGACTATTAAAAAGAGTTATGATGGCTAGTTTTTTGTTTTATTACTGAAACCAAAACTCCTTAGTTTTTGTTTCGCTACCTTTATTAAAATAGTAACAAACCCTGCCTCTTCCCAAGTTTTGTTTCACCCCCAGCTGTTGCATAATTGGCATTATCCCAACTCAAGTTACTCTCTAATTTTTTTCACGCGGTTTAACTTAAGATTAGCTGTTATTTATCACCAGTATAATGTTGCGATGTTGAAATGGACAATTATTCGTGGTGAAGATTCATTAAAAAGGTTTTTAATTATTTTTTACTTAGTTTTTCTACTCTTTTTTTCTACTTTTTAATTAAAAGAAATTAATTCTGCATCTTTTAATTTCTTTTCTTTTACGATTTTAATAATCATTGTGTTAAATTACGATGGAAATTATTAATGCTTGCCTCGTTATAGTTATTAATGCTTGGAATACAGCAGCAAAAATAGTCAGCAGCAAAATAAGTCAGTTTTTTTTTTATATTAGCCTCTAGTTATTTATCTACTAAATTATTTTTTTTTCCTTTTTAGCTGCTAACGATAAGTCAATAGAAAAATTCGCATAATAAATATTTGAATTTTTTCTTTCTTTTTTCTTTGGAAGAGTTTCGAGCGCTTTTGAAGAAAAAATATAATTCATTCGTAAGCATAGATTGCTAAGATATTTTGTTTAAGATCACAGCTCAGTAAATTGAACATTTTGACTGAAATATAATGTTTTGCTTAAGCAATTGAACTAACCATTCCATTGAGTACTAATTCTTATCTGTTATCTACATTGTGCCCGCTATTGTATTGTATTTTTTATTGTCACAACAATATAAAAAAGTTTCCCTTTACTATTGAGCATGGTCATAATTTTCTTGATACAATTATATTCACGTGTCCCGCTCCAATTTACGCAATCTTTGAATAATTGCTTTTGTAAAGATACACTTGCTTGTGTCAAGAATTAACGTGATATCAATCGGGACGCGTTTGTATAGTTTTGCCTATTTTGCATAGAAAGGACGCATGCCCAATATTTAAATTTCGAATTAGAAAAATTATATCTCGCACATATTTAGCTTTATCATGTGAATATTTTGCGTTTTCTTTTGCTGCAGTATTGTGAGATACATGCTTGTGATCATGAGATTTACAAGGTAAAAAATTAAAGCGATTGCGACACACGATTTTCAAATCCAATCGTGATCTCAACCGTTGATTTTTTGTGACCTTGATGCGATATCCAATCGTTTTTTTTTTCCCTTTACAAATTTTTTATGAATTGATGTGATCACGTGATTTTAAAATCAAATTGTGATCTCCACCGTTTATCTTTCTATGTCACGACGGGATTCAATTAGTTTTAAACTCTCTTTAATTGCAAATTGAGTGGTTGCAAATTTCATAGTATTAAATTACATGGATAAAAGTCATTTTCGAATGCATGGAATCCTTCGTTTTCTAATGCCGTCTGACGCAAATTAAATCGATTTTCGTATTGAGGTATCTCATATTTTATGTTATGCTCGTATTATTCGCTGTCCACTTGGACCGCTCTCGCTGAAACTGAAGGATCCCGCATTAAAGAGGAAAAATTGCTGAAAATTATTATTATTTTTAAATGTTTAATTCCTTTGATTAGGTACAAATTTTATGACATTAAAATAGCATTTTTAAAATTTAATAACAATTTTGTTTAGTTTATTACACCATGTTTAGCAGTCAATACATGGTACATATTTTTTTTATTAACGTTCTAGAGTGAAATCAATTAATTAAAGAGGGAATTAAATTTTTTTTTTCTTGATGAGTTTACTTTTTACAATGAAATCAAGGTTGAAAATATATATTTTCAAAAAAATTCAATTTCATTGTAAAAAGTAAACTCATCAAGAGAAGAAAGTACAGTACAGAACCCTTTATCCGGAAATCAGAAAACCGGAACAAAATTCTATAAATTTTCTTGCCACTTTTGAAAAATTTTTTTTCCTCGTAAGATTTTACAATTTTTCTTTCTTTTTTTAAAGATGTTTACCTTACCATCATTTTGGAAATAATCATTAGTGTATTACTTCATCGTTTTTTCTTATTTTTAAGATTATTTCCAAATTTTTTTTTTTAGTTGGGTTTAACAATAAAAAAAACGGCTTTTTGTAGCGATTCAGAAAACCGGAAAAAATCAGTTATCCGGAATAGCGATCGTTCCGGATAATCGGTTCCCTACGTACCTTTAATTCCCACAGGAGTAATATATATAATTACTCCAGAGGGGGAAAAAAACTTTTTTCTAAGGAGGCAAATATTATTTTTTCTTTTTTTTCTGGGGGAGGGGAGTGTTTTCCTCATAGATTTAGGTGTTATTCCTGTGTTTTAGAGATTTTGTATAAATAATAAGATCTACGTATATCTATGACTACATATTTATATGACTTATGTATCTTAATGTGTAACCCATTCAATATTTAGTATATTAATCTATTATCTATATATTAATGTATTGTATCTTAATATATAAGATATTGTAATAGTTCTTTAGTTAAAAAATAAATTCTTTTTTTCTAAATTTTTTTTCCACTTTGATAAAATTGTTTAAAATAATAATAGATAATGCTATCTTATATTTTGACCAGTATAATTTCATATGACTATTTTCTGTTTTATTTGTATTGAATTTTTTTTACCTTTCCTTTTTAGAGGTTTTCCTTCTTTTGCAAAGAACCATGATTATTATAATGATGAAATCTATCGAAACTTAGAAGAGATTGCAAAGTATTGACTTTTTTTATTATTAAAAATTTCCTTTTAACATACTTTTATTTAGTTAATTATAAGTTTTACTTAATGTGATTGTTCGTAAGTGGTTTTAATATACAGATTATTATATTCTTTGCAAAGTTTATAAGCTATTGTTACTATGTTTGTTTTTCACTTTTTTTTTTATCAAAATCATTGTGTGAACAAATACTCAATCCTTTGAAGTTTTTCTTTCAAACATTTTGAAACACATTCTTAAAGTAGAAATTGTATATTTGCAAAAATAGAATTTCTGAAATATTGTGTTTTTTGAATGAAAAAAATTTGTTCAAATTTGAATAAATGTAAGTTATTTATCTTATTATGTATCCAAGTATAAATTTCAACAGGCTTCTATTTTTTTACTGGGAAAATGCAATTAAACAAATTTCAATCATATATGCGTCTTGTATTTTATCAGCTGCATTATTCCCTGTTTTACTTTTTACTTTTTTTTAATTAATAAACTTGTATTAAAATTAGGACAACACAAAAAATTATTTTAAAAGTGACACTAGATATTTTTTTTTCCAGAATTTTTATATATTTTTTTATTTTTTGGGTCACATTTTTTATGTTCTTTTTATTGCTATAAAATTACAATTCTTTTACAGAAATTCAAATAATTCTAATTAAAGAGCATTAAAAAAATTAAACAACATTCGTTCTTTTACAGATATTCTTATCAAATGCTAATTGAGAACTGTGGCTAAATTTTGAAAAGTGTTTCACATTTTTTATGAGTTTTTATAATATGTTTCCAGTAAGAGAAACTGCTTCAACCCATCAAAGACTTTAATTTTTTTTTATATAGGATATATTAATTTTATGATTTATGTATTCAGTTACTCTAGAAAACTGCTTGAGTTTGTATTATAAATATAAGACAAATCTTATAATAGTATGTTGGTAAATATTGTTATGTAATATTAGATTTAGATTGTCTCATTTTGGAAAGTTTTCCATATGATTTTGCTTATAAAATATTATTAAATTGATATTATATTATTTATCAATATTATTTTATATGATATATGTCATATTTATTTTTAATATTCAATATCACTTTAAAGTATATCATAATGGAGCCAAGAATTTTTTTTTTGTTTAAACCTGAAATAAACGATTGAATTTGGATAGATTTAAAAAAGGAATTGGCTAGTTTTTGCTGTTTCTAACTATTGTAATTAAAAAAATTATGAAAGGTTCAATAATAGTTATATCAAATTTTTTTACATAAGCTTTTGTTACTTTTAAGTTTTCTATGAGATTTCAATTTGAAAAATATCAAACAGATCATATGAACTTCGTTTTTAATTTGTATATTATTTTTTCACTACTTGAATAGTTATAGACAATTTAAAAGGGTATGTGTTTGTTTGATTGTTTATTTTTAGAATTGTTTTGTTTTCATCTATTTTAAACTTTTCTGTCCAAATAAACATGCTAAAAAATTGTTTCCCTAGAAATCTTATAAAAAAAAACTCATTTATTGAAATCCTAATAAAAGTTTTCTATATGATTTTGCTGCTTATAAAATATGTTATATTTGATATTATATTATTTATTAATATTTTTTATATGATATGTTCTTATTTATTTTTAATATTCAAAAGAAGAGACATTAAATATCATTTTAAAGCATATCGTAATGAAGCCAAGGATTTCTTTTTTAGTTTAAACCTGAGATAAACAATTGAATTTTAAAAGATTTAGGAAAAGAATTTGCTAATTTTTGTAGTTTTTAGCCATTGTAACTTTAAAAAATTGCAAAAGGCTCTATAAATAAATGAAATTTAAAATTTACACATATTTTTGTTAGTTTACAAAAGTGAATTTAAAAAAATATTTTTTTTTTAATTGTAGATATGATATGAGAAAATTTTTCAAATCTATGTTTACTAGGTTTAAAATGAGTTAATTTTGTTAAAATGTTTTATTATTATTTTTTCATAATTTGTTATCAGACATTAGCTAATTAAATTGGTATGTAGTTTTGTTGGAGGTATAACTTAAATGTTACTTTTATCATGCTTATTATAAATAGCCAAAATGAAGAAGACAGGATGGTTGCATTTGACTTTCCTATTACAAATCACCGCAGTAAAGAAGAAGATATATATGAGGATCTATGTTACGTTACACTTAGGATTTCTGAGGTATTTACATACCAACAGCGATTGATTATATATGTGCATGTTGGAATTTGAAGAAGAAATTTGCTTTTACATGCACATGTCAAGAATTGTGTGCCATATTTTACGTTGCATTATTTTCAGGAATTATTTTTGCTTCACAACTCTAGCACTGTTTTGAATTTTTGAATTGTGTTGAAAAATTACCAAAAATGTTTTTAATTTTATACATTGTTACATTTTGGCTCATTATATTTTTTATTTTATAAAGTACTACATTCTTTTATATGTAGCAATTGCAATTGTTTTGGCTATTATTTTTTTATTGATAAATATTTTGCTGCAAAATTAAGCTTTTTCATATATTTATTTGTCTTCTCGTTTGTATATTTTGCATGAAGCTGTTAATTTAGGTTTTTTTAAGTTTATAATTTTATGTTAATTGCATGAATTTTGCATTTTGTTAATATGCCTGCTATGCATGCTTCTTTATTGTGCAGTGAGGCTGATTATGCTGCAAATGTGGAACAGCCAAATGCATTAGCTGAGGAAGATAGGGAAGATGCTTATGATGTTTATGAAGATATTATTCGATACAAACCTAAGGTATTTGATTATATTGCATGAAACATGATAGATATATGGATTTTAATTTGTATATATGAGAAGAAAAAAAATTACTAATTTTATATTAATTTATTTTGTTTTAAACATGATTTAGTTATATGATCATATTGTAAGCAGAAGTTCTGGTTTGTATACAAATATATTTTAAAAAGCTCATAAATTCTAAGAAATCCTTTTTTTTAAAAAATCATTACATGTCTCCTTCTTGCTGTGTGATCAACTAATTGGGTATTAAAAAAGATTAAGCATATGCTTTAAACCGAGACAACAAAAATAAGCTGTAAAAAAATAAAAAAATCCTAACCATAATAGCTATTGGTGCTCTGGTAGTATTTTTTATAAAGTTTAAATGCAAGTTACTAATTACAGTTATGAAAGTGTTGGTTTATGTACTTAGATTAGCAAGGTGTGCATTGAATATTTGTGGGTGAAAGTCTCCTCCTTAGTTTAGTGTGGAAGTCTAGAGAGGATTGGTCCCTTTCTGGGGCTATCAAGGTCATTTGGCTGGATTTAACCTTATGTGACATTCTTAAATTGTTGCTTAAAAGATAGAACTTTTAAAAATGGGACTAGGTGCTCACTCACGGTTGAAAGGTGTGTGCATCTGGATGACATAGAATTCCTTAGCCAATGCTATTTTCACTCTAGATCTAAGTTACAACAGCTGAACTGTTTTTAAAAGTGAAAAATTATTATTATTATTTTTGAACATTTAAGTTTCACAACTCAAACTCAAATTCACTTAAATAATCTTTCTGAAAATTCTGTAACTTTGGTGATGTATGTTTAATTATAATGGAACTGTTGAGTTTATAACTAGTTTTAATGAATTACATCAGGTATGAAATTATTAATCATAAAAGTATTTATATTTGCCTATATTTCATTTCATTAAAAAAATTTCTAAATTAGTTAAATTTATTTGATTTAGAAAACTTATGCTATTATTTCAGAGGCAGCACAAGTAAAATTATTGGTACATTTTTAATAATGTTTCCTATAAATTTTGTCCAATGTACCTATAATATAATGTACCTATTTTTAATTTATTTAAACTTTTACAGACTGTTTCAGCTTCTCCCCCTGTCCACCCTGTTGAGAAGCGAGATTATTGCATAAAAGAATTAATAGAAACTGAAAAGAACTATNTAAAATTGATGTCCCGCAGTGGACTGATCGTTAAGACACGGTTCCCAGCAGATCACCAAAGTCAAGCATCACTGACTGCGGTCAGTGTGCGGGTGGGTGACCACTTGGATTAGTTTGCGTTGGGACCGAGGGTGTGCGGTACTGGTCCTTGTTAAACTGTTCTACCGTAAAGTGCTTGACTTCGCGAGCAGGTCGTCGAGCTACCGAAGCAGGGGTGCCATCCCCTCTGCAGAGGATCAAAATTGCAATGGCATGTCTTCGGATCATCCTCAGGGATGTTTCCCAGACCGTCGCCAATAGCCCATTGTGCAGCTCTAGTGCGACGTAAATTAACAACAACAACATTGTATACAAATATATTTTAAAAAATTCATAAATTCTAAAAAATCTTTTTTTTAAAAATCATTACATGCTTCCTTCCTGCTGTGTGATCAACTAATTGGGTATTAAAAGATAGATTAAGCATATGCTTTAAACCGAGACAACAAAAATAAACAGCAAGCAATGGAGAAAAAAATCCTGACCATTAATAGCTATTGGTGCTCTGGCAGTATTTTTTGTAAAGTTTATGTACAAGTTACTAATTACAGTTATGACAGTGGTGGTTTATGTACTTAGATTTGCAAGGTGTGCATTGAATATTTGTGGGTGAAAGTCTCCTCTTTAGTTTAGTGTGGAAGTCTTGAGAGGATTGGTCCATCTTGGGTCTATCAAGGTCATTTGGCAGGATTTAACCTTATGTGACATTCTTACCGTGTTGGTTAAGAGATAGAGCTTTTAAAAACGGGACTAGGTGCTCGGTCACGGTTGAAAGGTGTGTGCATCTGAATGACATAGAGTTCCTTAGCCAAGGCTATTTTCACTCTTGATCTAAGTTACAACAGCTGAACTGTTTTTAAAAGTGTAAAATTATTATTATTATTTTAGAGCATCTAAGTATCACAATTCAAACTCAAATTCATTTGAATAATCTTTCTGAAAATTCTGTAACTTTGGTGATGTGTGTTTAATTATAATGGAACAGTTGAGTTTATGACTAGTTTTAATGAATTACATCAGGTATGAATTACATTAGGTATGAAATTATTAATCATAAAATTATTGATATTTGCCTATCTTTCGTTTCATTAAAAAAATGTCTAAATTAGTTAAATTTATTTGATTTAGAAAACTTATGCTATTATTTCAGAGGCAGCACAAGTAAAATTATTGGTACATTTTTAATAATGTTTCCTATAAATTTTGTCCAATGTACCTATAATATAATGTAACTATTTTTAATTTATTTAAATTTTTACAGACTGTTTCAGCTTCTCCCCCTGTCCACCCTGTTGAGAAGCGAGATTATTGCATAAAAGAATTAATAGAAACTGAAAAGAACTATATTGAAGCTTTAAACATGATAATAAAAGTAAGTTTATATGATGCAAAAACAGTTATAACAGTTGAACTAGTTATGGACTTTTTATGGGTAAAATTATCAAATGTGAAATCTTGATTAAACTCAAATCTGTATTGAAAATGTATCTACTCCTGCAATAAGAAAACAAAAATATAGTCAAATTTAATTACAATGAGGATGTAAATTTGGAGGCGATTCTCTTGTTAAATCTGGATAGTCTTTTAATCTAAGTTGGTTGATTTTATCAAAAATAAGAGAAATAAAATCTACAAAATTGAACCAGGAAATGTTTAAAGATAGCTTATTTTTTAAAAATATTTTTTATCTACAATACTTTGAATGCTTATTTTATTTTTCTTTTGCAACTGAGCATTGGTAATTGTGATTGAATGCTAGGACTATCTCTAACACCTATTTATTCCAAATTAGTTTGCAATTTCTTGAAAAATTCCATGTTTACGAAGGTGCAAGGAATCTGGTTTAATTTCTTTCCTATAGATTCTTTTTATATTGTCTTATTTTGGGTTTTCAAAACAATTGGTTAGGAACATGAACACAAGTGAGACAGTGGTTACTGTAATAACTCATAATTTCATATCAGCTATTGGTAGGCTACAGTTTTGTAGCTTTGACTAATTGTATGATTCATGAAAAGGCATAGGAAGAGATTCACATTGTTTTCTAATAAAAATACAAACAAACAATAAAGTATCTTTATTGCTTATTTTGTTACATTTTATTGAACGATTATTTCAAATACTTCAATCTACTGATGTTAATACAGGGTTGCCACTTCACAGGGAGAACAGGGAAAACCTGGAAAATACAGGGAATTTAAAAATCACCTAAAATAACAGAGAAAATGCCGGGAATTTTGATTTTTTTTCTTTAGAGAGTGGGAAAATACAGGGAATTTTGTTTCTTAATTTTGTCTTTTAAAAAATGGTGACCACTCAAAGTGTAATCTATGGGATATTTAACCATGATATTTCAGCTATACTGAACTGTTTAATTTACTATAGCATTATTTAAGTATGTTCGACTGTTTTTTTCAGCAATTAAAACTAATAAGTATAGTTAGCCCAATATATCTCACAAAAGAGCACATATTGTTGTTTCCTCTTAATATATTGTGTATAATGTGTACAGGGAAAATGCAGGGTATTTTTTTTCCTTCCAAATTTGAGTGGCAACCCTGTAATAGTATAACAAAAGATTTGTCTGCATTTAATATCTTATACTTATATCTGTGTAGAGAACATTACATAGTATATTAGGTGGCAGAGTTGTTTCTTTGTATGTCTTAAATAAATATTTGCATTTTACCTTCAAGTAAGCTCTAATAGTTTATTTTTATGCTCTAACTGTAACCCCTTTTTTTTCCTTTTAAATATACTGATTTAACTGGGCAAAACTACTACTCTCTGTGTGCATCTTTTCAGTTTCAGAATCAAGAAATTATTTTTAAATTTTCATTTCTTAGAATAGTAACAGTTATTATGAATAACTTGGAGATGGCGTATTTACTAATTCTTGAAAATTTGTCTTCTGTCTGAACTTTAGCTATACATGTTGTGAATAAAATTATAAATATATTGTTTTTTTTTTAAAAAAAATTTTAAAAGATTTTTTTTTTGCATATTGGAAGTTACATCTCTTAAGTGATTTCTCCTTTTCAGCACTTTATGAGGCCCCTCAAAAGTATATTGTCTGCAGAAGTTCGTGAAATTATCTTTATGAACATTAAGGTTAGTTTGCTACTTTTAGCTTCAACTTCTAACTAGTTGTACTTGTTAAATTACTATTGCTCCATATTTAATGATTTTCATTAACTAGGAACTAGCTGAAATTCACACTGGCTTCCATAGTGAATTATACAAAGCATGCACATCTAGCCATTATAAAATAAGTGAATGTTTTCTTCATTGGAAGGATAAATTCATTGTATATGGAGAGTATTGTTCAAAATTACCTGCTGCACAAGAACGTATTGAAGAACTCAGTACCAAAAGTGAAGTTGCCAATCAAGCTATTCTGGTAAGAATCAATCAGGATATTATTATGTGATATTTCAAAGTTAGTTTTATTGAATTTCATAGTTGGTGAAATAATTTTGTTCAATATTGACGACCCATTGGTTAAGCCACTGAACTGTGTTCGTTGAAGGACCAAGTCTCATTCCCCAGTGGTAGCTTGAAACCTACTCAGCTTCTAATCAATGGGTACTAGCTAAGTTATCCATGAAGACTAGTTTGTCCCATTGCTTGATCCATAGTTCCCTTGTCTTATGGGTTGGGTTCAAAAGTTAAAGTCTACAGAGTTGAACATTGATAGCATTAAACTCAGAATTGGGTCCGCTGTTCAACGTACGTTATAAAATAAAATAAAATGGATATTTACTGAGTCAGGATGGCTCAGAGAATAGGGCATTGAAGGGCATTAGCGCTGGTTGATATAAATTCTACTCCCGATTCGCACTGACCACAGTGCTGATGTAAAATGGTAGAATTGTTGGTGGTAGACAGAACTAATTGGAAATGACTATTTACCATAACCTTGGAAGGTATGCATATTTTTTCTCTCCATGTAATGCAAATACAGATTGGTTCCAGCAAATTGTCCTCCGTGATGGTTAGCTTGTTCCAATGCTTGATCCAGAAGCTCCCTTATCATCCAGTTCGGTTCAAAATTACAAGGTTATGGAGTTGAACATTGATATATGTAAACTCAAAATTGGTTTGGCTGTTCGACAGAGGCTATAAAATATGTAAAAATTGCTACTATCTAGCCTGGGAAATTAAGGCTACCGTTATGCAGTGCAGGATTGACCAATGAGCGGCCCTAATGCCTGTCAAAATTATACAGCCTTAACCTCCACAACTTCCTCTTGATTGACAACTAGTTGTTGCAGACATAATTTTCTCTATTAGTAGTTAGAGTTTTATGAAATACAAAGTTTAAAACTCCTAATTTAAAAAAATGTTTTATCTTCTATTGATTTTGTTCCAGCTTTGTAAGCATTATTTTTTTTGGTTTTGCTTTGAAGTTGGCTGTTTTTCTGCAGTAGAAATGGATTCTTTTTTATGCTATTGTGTGAGAAAATAGCAAATAGCGAAAAAAAATCATCGCAATGAGCTAAATGGATTCAGTTATTAAACATTGCTTTATATATTCTTTATACAAAGTTTTAAACTGATGAATCATATAAAATTTTTATTTCATAAGAAATATATATAGTTGATAGCACATTTCTGTTTTTAGTGCCATAATATATGTTATATGTTAAACACATCTACATATGCTATAAAAGTAATCGTGTTACTTTTATATTATTTTTTTTGAAAATATGATTTTAATATTTTTGGCTACCCTGTTTTGATATTTTAAGTGACTCATTTATCAAAATAGGTAGTCATTATTTTGATAATCTTTTAATTTGGTAAGAATTTAAGAAAGCTTTTTTTATTATTTGTATGTTAGTTTTATATAAAAAATAATTTCATTTATTAAATTATTGGATGACGAGAAAAATTACTAGTTGTTACTAAAAAGTTTTTCAAATAACTTTTTTGGTTCTAAAATATGTGAATTGTTTAATTTTTAGCCATTAAATTAGCTACCTCAAAACATTATAGTTACCAGATCTTGTGCTTTTAGTAGATTCAATTAGTTATATATAACCTAATCCTTTAAATCACCATAGTTATCCTATCTTCGTATTATTCACAGTTTTGATTAGTTATGAAACCTTTATTATTTTATAAGTGTTTCTGACAGTAAGTAAATGTACTACTTGACAATGTTCATTGTTATAATTTAGAGGATTAAGTTCTTTCCTTGAATTGAGCATTCAATTTTAATATAAACTGGCTTTTATGTTTATGATCATTTATATAATAATAAAAATGAGAGTAAATAAAGTGCAATTAGTTCTAAAACTATTTTTAGTTTTATTTTATGTGCATACTCATTTTATTAATTCTTATTTCTTCTAAAGTAGAGACACAGGGTTCAGCAAAAAACCAAGACTTGCACTTTTTGTTATAACTTCATTAAAAATGAAAAAATCAACAAAATGTAACAAATAATAAGAAGAGCAAACTTTTACTTATTAAAATTGATTGGTTTTAAAGTAACCGTCTTTTGTAAAGTAGCCATTCAAAAAACCAAGACTTACAATTTTTAGCATAACTTCATTAAAAATTAAAAAATCAACAAAATGTAACAAATAATAAGAAGAGCAAACTCTTACTAATTAAAATTGATTGGTTTTAAAGTAGCCGTCTTTTGCAGTGATGGCAGAGGTGCAAACGCTTATTGAAATTTTTTGCTATGGGCTGCAAGATATCTACCTTTAACCTACCTTTAACCGCCGATTGTTTTAGAGAGTCCAAACTTTCGTGTTCAATGATTGTGTGCAGAGTAAATGAATGACTTTACATTATCGGTTTCTTTGCTTAAGCAAATCTGAAATTGTGGATCATTTACTTGGCAGCTTAACAAAAGCCATAAAATAATATGGAAGCTAAAATATATATTATAAAATATTTTCTGGTAATTTAAGATATATATTAAGAAGGAAATGAACACAAATTAAAAAGAAATGAGTTAAATTTTTATACTATGATACAATAATTTTGCCAGAGTTTTTTTTGTCACTATAATTGTCAACTTTGACAATTATAATATATTCATAAAATTTTATCATATTTCGGAAAATTTTACAAAATAATATTTTATTAGTCATAATTTTTTAAGTTAATGACTGCTACTATTAAATTTGTTTTGTTATATAACTCTCTGGTTTGCTAATTTTAATAGTTTAAATTTTGAGACAGTTTTTTCAATACGTTCTTAAAATGAAGAATCTTGCCTGTTTGGTAAAATGCTGATTTAACTATTTTAAAAATCTTATGTGTTGAACACTTTTATTGAACCTGACATAATGTGGAATAATTCTTGTAAGTATTAACTACTAACTAGATTAAATATTTCAAATGTCATGATGTCTTGAATGAATTGTATCATTTGTTGCATGTTTAATCTGAATTGTATATTTTTGAATATTTAAAATTTGGAAGATAATTTTTTTCGGCTCTGGAAGATCCTATTGTTTATTATTTTTTGAACTATTAATTAAATACATTACAAAATATACTCATATTTAAAAAGGTATCAAGCTAAAAATATTAATAAAAGTTAATTTATTAAACTAAACTAAACTCAGCGGCGCGACAGCCCATAGAGGGCCAAGACCTACTGTGCCCATCTCAGTTTTCTTGACCTTGGGCTCTGGGGTGCAGGAGCAGATGTTCCGGTCAGGTGGTCAGCCGAACGCGGAACCCCCAGTGTTTAGTTCCCAAGCATGCTTGGTTCTCATTTATCAACCCACTGAAGGGATGAAAGGCTGAGTCAACCTTGCCCGGCCCGAGGATCGAACCAGGGACCTGTGGCACGACAGCGCGAAGCGCTACAGTTCAGCCACTGGGCGTCAATCAATTATGAATTCGCTCATCCCATTATCTATGTAAAAAATGGATTTGTAAAAAAAGAGGGGGGGGGGGGGGGGAAGATGATGTAACAAATTATTATTTAAGTTTCATTTTAAAATAAAAATTGGTATTGTTAAATGATTTGATGTAGATTTTATACAAGTTATGAAAAGAAGTCTGTTTTTAAAAATTCACTTGCTTTATAGTGTTTTTACTGTTAGTTTTAAAATCTTATTGTGAGCACTGCTCTGACATTGTATCGTTATTAAGAATTTTATGATTTATATGTTTTGTACTTTTTTGGCTAAGTAATCAAGCTATAAAATACTATGACTTGAAGGTTTCAGTTATTATACCAGCCTATTTTAAACCTTTATTTTAATTTAAATTTACCTCTTAATTTATTGTAAATTAAGTTTGTCTTGAGTGATGGAATCAAAATCACAATAAAAAATGTTTTTTTCATTTATTTTATGTCAACCATAAAAAGTATTTTTTTAAAAATTAAAATAAATTTTGTTAATTGTTATTTTTTTTTGCTTTTATTTTAAATTGTTTTTTTTTATTTTTATTTTTTTTATTTTTTATTATGTTCTAGCAAAAAATAAGTTTGAAAAGAATTTCTTTCAATTTCTATTTTTAGCGTTGTCAGCATGAAGCCAATGGTGGGAAATTTAAATTGAGAGACCTTCTTTCGGTACCTATGCAAAGAATTCTTAAATATCATTTACTATTAAAAGTAAGTACATGTTATTTTATTCCCTACTTATATTTTTGTTTGCTATTCTTTTATTTTTCTGAAAAGCTACACCAAATGATGTCACAAACAGCTGTTAATAAAATTTAATTTAAATACTTGAAAGGAAGCAACATGTTTCATTCCAGTCTTAAAAACATGAATCTCTTGTGACACTATGAAACCTTTTTTTCTCTGTTTATTTGTAGTTAAAATTAATCTGCAGTCCTCTTATTTAGGCATATTACGTAGCTTTATTCAGCCTTAGATGTTATGTTATAATGCGTATTTTAAAAATATTACTGTGTGCAATGAACTATAATAATGGACATTAAAATTGATACTATTTCAATGACTTGTTAAATGTTCTTTAAACTGTTGGTAAAATGCATTGGAAAGATTTACCTTCCTCTTGAAATTAAAAATTGAACTAACTTAAATCTTTTCAACTTTTATCTTTATAATCTTTTATGTGCTACAATTATGAGCAAGGTATTGTAACATTAAAAACCATTTCAATCAATGCAATTTTTGTGTTAGATAGGAAGTTTTTATGTTTTTTGAATGATTATTAATAATAATTTACTATAAAAATTAGTTAGCATACTTAGGTTTAAATGAGGACTCTTTTAAAAGTAGAGATGAGGGATTTAGCAATTGTATAAATTGTAACACACACACCATTCTTATTAAAATGTTTGCATTAAATATTAATATTAATACTTTTTCTTGTCCACGGCTTTTGTTTTATAGGAACTAATAAGAAATACTCCAAAAACTCATGATGATTATTTTGGATTGCAAAAAGCTTTAGATGCTATGCTAGTAAGTATTGATTTAGATATATATGCTTTTATTAGATTTATACATGAAGTAAAATACTTAAGTATTCTCTAATTTTAAAGGATTTGGCACAATACATTAATGAAGTTAAGAGGGATAATGAAACGCTACAAATTATTCGAGATATTCAGGCCAGTATTACAGATTTGAGAATGGTAAGAGTATAATTGCTTATATCATTTGTGTAGACTGTTTTGTTTTAAAATATCTCTATATAATAGATAATTTATCTTGTGATATCCTAAATGAAAGTATATGGTGTAGAGGAAAAGAGATCCTCGACAGCAACTTATAAGAATGTAAATAGTAAAGAATATAAACAATATTTCTCAGCGTTTAATGTGGTCCCAAATTCCAGAAAGTCAACCCACAATACCCCCTTTTGATCCCAAAACACAGCTGCCATGACTTACCGGCAGACTGTGTTTTCTTGAATTTTTGAGGCTTAGGCGAAGAGGAATGCTGCCACCCCTGACTTGATTGTTGTTTTGTCTCAGGTATGAAGTGGTATGTCCAGGGTTCATCAACTGTGACAATTGAATTCAAGAAGTTGTCCTTTTCGTCAGCATAACGGCAAAGAAATTCACGGCAGAAAAGTTGAAATACCGGAAGTTGTGTCCCTTCTGATATTTCAACTTTTCTGTCAAAACCCAATAAATGGTGATACAAGAAACCTCGTTAACGGAAATGCAGAGATCATCCAGTGTGATGCGTCTATCATGACTCCCTCAATCTTCGTGACTGTCAGTTGACGATGAATTTCAAAAGGTTTTGCTCCTTTTGCTTTCCAAAACCAAATAACTACGCAAATATCACACCTCGCGGATGTAGTAATCGTGAGCTACATTTCTAATGGCAACCCTGCCAGGACTGAGCGTCCTAGCTACGTGCACGCATGCTTGGTGATAGTGGGGGAAGCAGTAAATGCAACAGGGTTGCCAACAGCCGCACAAAGAAGTACCCAGTGCTTTGGAGACCTTACTTTTGGAATCAGCCTCATACGTTAAAAGTTAAATTTTAAAATAATATATCTGTGTAAATGTTGCTCATTATAAAAAGCACTTTTTTAAAAATTTTCAATTTTGTTGGCTAAAATATTTGATTTTGGTTTTAATTTTTATTTATTAGCTTTTGTATATATCTATAGCTTAGAAAGCAGAATAATTACTATTAATAGTTAATTATATATTTGTTGTTGATACTGAGATTGAATTTAAATGGAATTTTTTATAGCCTGAAGATTTGGAGTTGAAAGACTATGGAAGGCTTTTGAAGGATGGAGAATTGAAAATCAGATCACATGATGATAATAGATTAAAAAATAGGTATTTTAGATTTACTTCCACACTATTAATAATTTGTTTTGAAAGTAACATCTTTCTGAAGTTTAAAATAGAAAATCTGAGAACAAATCTGAGATTGTTTAATTAATCTGTGCTGTAAAATTTAGGAAGCAATTACTTCAATCTTAAACGGTTTATATTTTATCACAAAAACTGATTGGTTGGGTAACCTAGTAGGATTCTAAAGTGAAATCAATAAGTGTATTATAGTGTACTCTACAAAAGTAGTCTTCTCTATTCACAAAATATAAATTTTTTTCTCATCATATATGTTTTTAGTTAAACTGTATGGTTTATTAAATTTCCTGCCAACATTTAATAATTATGAGTTGATTAAAAGACTGTTACCGATGTTTCTGATGTTTCTTTTCATCTTTATACGAAAAGTGTCAACTGTCATTCATTGAATTTAACTGAAATAATGGAGGCAAAAATCTTTTAAAATATTTATGTTTTGTGTAGCTAATAATAATTGTTTTCTGTCAGTCAGTTATGTGTGGAATTTACTAATTAGAAGTTTTTAAAATAGATGATTTTATCTGTTACAGATACGTTTTTATTTTTGATAAAGTGATGTTAATGTGCAAATCAACAAGGGTAAGATATGATTTTTAGTTTTCTCTTTTTGATATAGCATGAAACATTGTTTGTTATATTATATGTCAGAATTCTTTTATCTGCTAATTATTAAAAATTCTATTTATATTTGTTAGAAAAATACATAGTTTAAATCATTAAATATATTTTAGTGTTCAACATACCACTTTTATTTGAAAGTTTATTCATTCCTGTATTAAATCCTTTTATTCATTTATCTTTTATCGATCAAAATTTCTTTTCAATATATTTTGATTATTGAACTAAACAATATAGTATCTGATCTGATGATTTGCAAACCTGCATGCCATATATAATTAGTTTTGATAAAGAGTGTAACTTTAGCTGTGTTATCTGTAGTTCCAAAAAAATATTTTTATATTTACTTGTTTTTTTCTTGCATGCATCTTAGATTGTGGATAAACTTCTATGGGTAAGATAAAAATATAAGATGACTGTAATTATTCTGAATGTGCTTCCTATTATAGATATTTGATTATAAATATTTCATAGCACTATATTTGAATTGTAAATTTTCAAGAGAGTAAATAGTGTGGATAGATTTCAAAATGAATAATTCAGAACTTGATTAGAAATCATTTGTAAAATTTTATTTCCTCTAGCAGAATTTATGGAAAATAATCTGTAGCACTAGATTCATAAATCCAAATTTGTCCTCAACTCAGTCAGTATTATTGTACAAAATTCAGTTTAATGTAACATACTTGTTGCAAAATTGAAAATATAAGGTCTTAAAAACATTAATCAGTTTAAATTTGAGTTTAATACAATGATACTAAATGGAATAAATACTTATTCAATTAAACTTGTAATCAAGTAACAGAAAAATTCTCTGCTCTTTGTTTGTGGTGTTCTCTCAATACAGGTTTTTAATTTTTATTAACAACAAGTTTAGAGATGTTTAAAAAAAAGATAATCAGCAATTCTTTTTCATTTATTTGTTTGTCTTTTTAGAAATAAAAAAGAAAACTTAAATGAAAAATGATCTGCAGCACTCGCTGCGGTGCTGGAGGGTTTCTACTACCAGGGCATTATTTTTAAATAGCAAATTTTTCTTACTAACCAGTAAAATGATTTTGTGGTAAAATTGCGTCTTTGTTTATCAATACCTTTGCAGAAAACTTATTTTATGTTTCTTCTTGGTGAGGAAAAGTAAAGTTATTCTGTTTTCCAAAGTTAAATTTATAGATGGTTTTATGATAGGGTTATGTCTTAATTTAAATGTAAAAGAAAATTAAATTTTAAGAAAGGTGGGGTCCTTTCAATTTACTGTATATAGCTTGCTGTATTTCAATTTACTGTATGTAGCTTATATAAATTTTTTTCTCCAACTTTTGCTGTTTCCGTATTATATTCTCTGCACTGAAATTTATAACTTGCTCATTCAAACTTGCTAAAAGAATTCTATGCTTCATGAAATTATTAAAAAATAAATTGCTAATTTGTATAATATTAAATATGAAAGATATTTCTATTACGCATCATGTTCAGATTTTGCTAAAAATTCGATGTTTAAATGAGGCCTACTGTCAGGTTACTTTCGCATGTGCAACAGGGTCGCTGTATGATGAAGCATGAAATTTCTTCATATGCCCTATTTTGGCACTTACCCCAGATTGCACATGTGCTGAATCGAACAAGTGTGTTGTACCAAATGTGCAATGAGGCTTTTAGTAAGTAGTAATTAATTCTTCTACCTACTTGCGAGTGGCACTTCTCTCCTTCAATTGGATTCCTGTGAGATTCAGTCTATTCAACTCATCTAAGTGCTTAACTAATTTTTATTAACTTTTATTAAAAAAAAATACATTAAATGTAATTTTGCCTATTAATCCCATGTTTTGGTTTTTAAACTTATGATTTTTGTTTGTGTTATCTCTTCATCTCCCTTAATTCTACTTGCATCTAATCACTAATCTAACTAACTACTTCTGTTTAATTATGTCTATTGAGTCGGCAACTACCACATAATTATTGAGGTGGCCTTGTTAGCCGGGTACTAGCAGGCACTAATTCTTAGTTTCCTATTCTGTTCGGCCTAGTCAAATGAGTATAAAGCTGCTGTCAGGTCACAAGATGTTAAACATGAAAAGTCTTAGTTAAAGGGAAAATTTCTTTAGACCCATTAATGATCACAGTATATGTTTTAAAGTATGCTGTGCATATTTTAATAAAACAAAATTGGTTAAATTTTGTTTTGGTTGGTGATCAAAATGTTTGTTAAATATTTTGATCAAATATATGTTGGCTAAATAGCATACGTTTATATTTTTTCTGTTTGTAGGGAGAGCAGTACAGTTTCAAAGAGGCCTTAGTTCTTCTTGATTATAAGGTTGAAGATGTAATGAATACACCTAGAGTAGGCAGCAGGGATAAGGTACTTATTTGTGTTTGGTTTTTAAGTTTATTTAGTTTTTATATTATATTGAAAATTGTTTTACTTTATAAAACAATCAAATGGAATTTTATGTATGGAAATTGTGTAAAATTTCACTCTTTGACTGAGTGGGATAATAGCTATTTTTAATATTAATATTGATGTTATTTTTCAGTGGAGTTACTATTGGCTGCTTGCTCACAGGCAAAATAGCACTGCTTTAACTATGTATGCAAAAACTGATGAAATGAAGCAAAAATGGATCGAAGCCATTGAAAAAGCTTTGTGAGTTATCTATGTTTCAGTTTCTATTAAATTTTTCAGTACAACATTGAATGAATTATATTTTGAGTTTCATTGAGGAAAGAACTAAAACTTTAATACAGTTTATTTTTAGTCAATTCAGTAGTGTCCCTAGAGATAATCTTTAATTTGTTATAGATACATAAAGAAAAATATGTTATAAAAATTTATTAAGAAACTCATAATTCTGTATCAGAGTCCTAACATTATTAAATTAAAAAATTCTTTCTGTTAATGAACTTATACCTAAATTTGTACCTGATGCAAAGTGTATCTCATGTAATGTTCTGTAATCGTTTGCTTTGTATACAATTTGTAATGAATTACATGGACTCTCTTTGTAAATAATCATTTCTTATGTTTTAATTTATCATAATTTCATTCTGCTATTTGTTTTCTAATTGTATATTATTTTTCTTTACTATTTACTATACTTCATACTTTCTTTGAACTACATTTTTACTACATAAGAATGTTTATTCTGTGTGCTATTGTGAAAGTCTTGTCAGATTTACTGTATTTTGCACTTTGAGTAGTTAATATAGCTATTATCATTTTCAGAGATAATGTTTGTCCTTCTGCCTTGCGTTCTACAGATCACATCTTCCAGATGCATTCCTTTGAAAAACCTGCGAGCTGTGCTGAATGTGAAAAACTTTTAAGGTAATTAACACGAATTATTAAAGAACAAAAGTAATAACCTTTTGGTGATAAATTTTTAAATTTTTTTTTTTTTGCCAAATCACAGTATTACCAATCTTCTTTCTCATTGCCTATTTATCTATTTTTGTTTATGTTTTAATTTTTAGTCATTTAAGATTCTCTAATTTATCTCATTTAATATATATTTGAATTTGTGAATTTAAAAAAATGAGATGACAAAAGGCAAAAAAAATATGTGCCCTCTTAATAAAAACAAGCAAATAAAAAATTATAAAACAGGTTTTTCTTGTTGTAAAACTTTAAATATATTAACACTTTTTGAAGCTTTAAAGTATTATTTTTAAAGGGAAATAAAAAAAAATGGCTGGTGTAATTATTTATCATAACTTCATTTTTGTATAATAAATTTTTTGCTTAATGTTTGAGTGTTATGTTTCAGTTTTTTTTTATAATTCCATTAAAATCTGTTATAAAAGTAATCAGGTAACAACAAAGGAACATTTTAAACTATTTTGGCAAAAATCTAAAAAATATAGAGAAATATACTGTGCTGCTGACCTAAGTGTTAAACCTTCCAGCCAGTTTCTTCTAAACTATATATTATTTTTCTTAATGTCTTTTTCTTCTATTTAACAGCAACTTATGTGTTTTATTTCAGGGGAATATTTTATCAGGGTTATTTGTGTTCTGGTAAGACTTTTTTTCCCATTTACATACTTATCATAAGAAATTTTGTCTTATTATCTCAATATAATAATTATATATTTTTTCTAGTGTGTGGTATTTCTGTTCATAAAGAATGCATTGAAGAAGTTCGATCATGCGGAGCACCTAGACTCCCACCTAGACCACCATCAGTTACTATTGTACCTGAGGTTTTGAGAAGGAATTTATCTTCTGCTACAAACAGACCATATATGTGTAAGTATCGTCATGTAATTTTTATATATCTTTTTTCTCTCTTTTGCATAATATTTGAAATTTTGTTTTGTATTTAAGTACAGTTGGACTTATCTGAAGTATTTTGGATAATTGAAATATTCAAAATGTAGAGGTTATTACCATTCATTAATCTATTTTCATCTTATTAGATTTTTATTTTATTTAAAAGTTTTTTAATTTATTGACATGGAGTTATAACTGGGGTTAAATCCTCAATGGCGATTTGAAGTCTTTCCATCCTTAGTTTGTTAAGTATCAGCTTACCTTGATAGTAGAAGTAATTGGAGCACTTTACCCAAATCATGTTGTTTGTCACAAAATTGTGCAAACTTAGCCTCAGTAATCCTTTGAGTTACAATGGACTATTTAGGAAATGCTTTATTTTTTGTCCTCGTGCCATATAGTATTTAAAATTTAGTTTTAATATAAATATTTAATAAACTTCTTATTTTTAAACAGATAGGAAGTTATTTCTCCTTAAAATTAGCTTACATCATTTTTTCAAATGCCTTAATATAAGCTTTATCTGACTTGGTCTGTTGCAGCATATTATTGGGAGAAAAAAATCTTTGTTGTTGACTTGGGCTAACAAAAGTTTTCAGAGGAAAGAGGTTTGGTTTGTCGAAGTTTATATGATATCTATTGATAAATTTGTCTTATCAAGCACATTGATTGAAGCTCTTAGCTTCACAAAAATCATACTAGCTGATAAAAAGAAAATTGTTGCCCTATAAGTTGAATTTATATTGTTATACCTTTCAATTGATGTAAAAAAAATTTCCTGTGGTTTCTGTTGAAAAAAGTTTTAAATTTCAGTACTAAAGGGCACTGTAATGAAGGAAAAATGTGATAATAGTTCAACATAAAATATAACAAAATCTTTTATTTATTTATATATCTGTGTATTTGATGTGCTTACAATGTTAATCAACAATATGCAACATCTTTTGCTTTTGTTTTTAAAAATACCCTGCAATCTGTTGGCAAATTTTAAATTTATTATTTTCACTTTAGAATAATTTTTTTATATTTAACACAATTTATTCTTTACTTACTTTTCAACTTCTTATTTATATTTCCTTTTTGACATTTTATTTGTTCTGTTGAACAAGGGCTATGACCGCCTGAGTATTGTCACTAACTGTTATCACGAGTATTGTGGGAAATAAGAATTTGCGAAATTACATTGATGTTTATTAAATTGCAGAACAGAAAAAGCTGGATATTAAGGCATTCCACACTATTATAGAATTCAGGGTTAACTAAAAGCTCTGAATCTTAGGAATCTAGATGAATTAATTGTATACTAATGTTTCTCGTAAAAACATCTAAGAGAGAATAATTATTGTTGCTAAATTAGCCAGCATATGATCCTTATGTTTTAAACATAGATGTATTTTATTTATCTCTTATCTGTATTTTCAGTTAAAGTGCGTGCAAGATTTGCCTATAAAGGTCCCCCAGATCATCTTTCCTTTGATAGTGATGATGAAATTTATGTAACGAATAAAATCAACAATCATTGTTGGGAAGTGAGTATATTTATATTTTTAACTCAAAATATATTAAAATTAAGTTTCAGTTTTGGTGAACTCCAACCTCATCTATTTTTTCAATTTAAATGTTTCATTTTTTTTTTTAGGGATATGTTGCTCGTACTGGAAAAAGTGGTTTATTTCCGCCTGATCACGTTGAGGTAAATTTAATATTTTTATATACCAATCATTTATGTACTCAACTGAAGTGGGAGATAAGTGAAAAAAATATGTGTAGACTTATTAGAGATGTTCTGGTGAATTTTTTTAACACTAGTAGTTATTTAAAGATTGTTAAATGTTAGCTCTAGGTTTTATTTTAAAGAATGTATCCTATTATAAAATTTTTTATATAATTATTATTTATTGATCATGATTTTTAACCCTTTATTCTACAATTTTAAAGTGGAATAATATTAATTATTTTTTATGCAGAATAATCAAGAAAAACAGGAAAAAATCAGTTATAATTTTTGAGGGAAAGAAATATTTTTTGTCCCTTTGCAAGGCGATTGTATTCTGGGGATACCCTGGAATTTTTGTATTATCCTTCTGGGTCTTAATATTTGGAGCAGGGCATATGATTTTTAAGGGAATATTGTGGAATTCTGCATTTCTCAAGACCATTGATTCTCGGTGTTTGGTAATTAAAAACTTATGATCTGACAAAGTTATCCCGAGATTCTGGATGTATTCTAAAATTCAAATTTTGAATCTTTCACTGATTCTCATTAATGGGATGCTCCATATATGTGATTTTTCTGCCAATGGGTAGAAATCCAATTTGATTCTTCTGGTTCTAGTCTTCGCCATTTTGAATATTTGGAACTGCGCCAGAATCTGCTAATATTGCGATTTTTGTTCACACCATTTGAATATCAAACATCGATTTTCGTATCTATTTTAAAAGTTACACATTGCAATTCATATTAACGTGATTTCAAAATCTAATGTCGGGATTCGTATTTATAAGTTTTCGAAATCCAGAGTCACAACAACGTTTTCAAAGTCCAATATCACGATTCACATTCACACGATTTTAAAATGCAATATCGCATTTTATATTCACGCGATTTTAAAATCCAATATCGCGTTTCCTATTCACGCAATTTTAAAATCTAATATCACATTCATGTTCATGCAATTTCAAAAATCCAACCCCGAGATTCTTGTAGGAACTAAGATTGTTCTTGAATTAGTTACTATAAAGGTGTGGTATTCTTCATTTGACATTATCCTCTTCATGCCGAACTGGCACAGAAGGCCTCGACTCTTTTTTCTCCACACACTCCTGTGTTTGGCCAGGCAACGTGCTTCTTCCCATCCAGTTACTCCTGCTCTGCTAAGATCTTCCTTATTGCATCTTTGCCATGTTAGTCTTGGTCTCCCTCTTTTTTCTTTCCATCAGGCGCCCATGAGCTTGCAACATTTGCAGGATTTTTTCTATCTGCTCTTAAAATGTTGCCGAGCCATCTTCATCTTTGTTTTTAAATTTCTTCTTCAACAGATGGGATATTGGCTTTTGTTAAAAGGTCTTTGTTATACTATTTGGCCAGAAGGTTTTTAGTATTATTTTTGATTATTTTATCTATTTTGAAAAGTTTCAAGTTTTTCTTTTTCTGATTTCTGAGAACTCCAGCATTCGGTACCATACAGGAAAATGGAACACACGTTAACCTTATAGACATTTATTTTTAATTTTATATTTGTGGCTCTCTCCGAAAACTGTACAGACCTCTAAAGCAGGATCTAGCTTTTCTGGTTCTGGAAAATATCATCGTTACTTCTGCTCCGTTTATTAAAAATAGCTCCGAGATAAACAAAAGAATCAACCTCTTCTATCTTTTCGGAGCTGATTTCTATGCTTCTGTTAGATTTCACATTTATTCTCCTTATTTTTGTTGTACTTTTGTTAATTTGAAGACCCATTTCATTAGAATATTTGTTAAAAGCTTGTGTTAACTAAAATATGCTAATTCTTTTAATTTTAAATGAACACCAGTGAATATGAAATTCCATGCTTTAAAGATTCTGCAAGAAGCACAGAATTTATTATTTCAAAATTTTTGTTACGAACAGCGATTATACCTCTTGCAGAAATGGCAGTAGGCTACTTGCGGGGAAGCAGCATGTCCTTCAGCTTTGAAACTAGCATAGAATGGTGGTTAATTCTTTTTCTTTACAAAGACGACCACCTTTGTAGATGTGCTAGGTAGTTTTAAATGTTAAATATATAGAGGACTGCTGAGAAATTCAATTTAAACTTAGCTTTGCAACTATGCAATATGGGACAATGAAAGGTTAATTAAAAGAGTCATTTCAATAATTTTGATTGTTCTTTTTTCAGAAAAGGCCGCCATCTTACGAAAATCCATTCACTGCAAAAAATGATGGGACAAATTGTACTGCCCCGACTCCTGACTACATTAACACAATGCTAGAAGGCCATGATTGGTAATATTTTATTTTATCTTTCAAAATTTATTGCTTTTATTATGTAAGTTTAAACTTTTACAAAAATTATCTTTGTTAGGAACGAAAAAAGGGTCTTTTAGAATTTTTTTGCTGACATTTTTTATTGTATCTTTTATTTTTTTTTTCATTGTTTTTATAATTTCAGTTTGAAAATTCAACTGCACAGTTATACATGTCATACTTTTATTCGTAAAAAAGAAATAATTTACTTCCACACTCAAAGAAATCATAAGTTATCTTTTTCTATTTTGTTTATATTTTACCTAAATTATTTTCCTATCATTTCTAAAATATAAGACTTAAAATAAAAGCATATTATTCAAAAACTGCAAGCAACTTATAATATAATGTTTATTATTATTACATTTGTTGTAGTGAAATTTTTTTTTTAAATATAATTGGATTATAATATTTTTAAATTACTTATTATAAATATTTTTAACTGTGGATTTTTTTTGTCATGCAGTATTTATTACAACTAAAAAATAGTGCAATTTATATGGTTTATCTTTTTACTACTGCTATTAATGTTTTACTTTATTTCAGCATAAAAATGTTTTTATTTTTTCTTCTAATTTTTTAAGTGTTGATTTTACAGGTTTGCAGGCGTTATGGATCGCGAAACAGCTGCTAAAAAACTGGAAGAATTGCCTAGTGGAACATTTTTACTACGAATTAGTCCTAAACAAAGAGGGTCTTACGCTATTAGCATAAAGTATGTGGTTTTGCTTCTTGATTCTGAACATATAATTTTTTGATGGTTAATAAGAGAGAAAATTTTCTCATATGGTAGTTCAAATTTATTCTTATGCCTGATAATTTTTGCTCCAAAATGCATTAAAGTTCCTTATCTATCCAAATCTCCTATATTTTAACTGATTTGAGAGTAACAGAGTTTTTCTGCAAATCATTCCTACTAAAAGTTAGTTTTGGGTAAATTGTTGAGCGACTTCCAAAAATGATATTGCCTTTTTAAACAAAACCTCGCCTTTTTAGACAAAACATATTCATGATACAAAGAATTAAAATTAATTATCACCTCACATTTTTCAGCGTAAATAATCTAAATTTATATCTTATATTGACTTACTAAATTTAATGTTTCAAAGATGTAACTGTTTTAAATAAAACAGACTTAGTCATACTTATTTATTTATTTTAATATAGCATGAGATAGATAACATTCCTATTTATTGGTTGAAATTTAATTTAATCAAATCCTTTGAATTTGTGTATTTTATTTATTTTATATTCAAGTATTTAAATATTCAATTTGAATAAAGGTATGTTTGTCATCATGTAATTTAAGGGTTTGCTTATATCACATCTCTTAAGTTCTATGATCTTATTATTTCTTTTATTTATTTCTTATGTAAAGAAATTGCATGATTTTCTTAGGGATCAACTAATGCAAATGAAGCCAGTTCAAGATTATTTGAATCCATTGGAACTTTAAAAAAAAACTTTGACACATCAGTAGTTAGAATTTCTGTTAGATTTAGTTTTTGTTGAAGCAAAAATAATTTTAATATTTAAATTAATACTTATACTTACATATTGATTAAATAACAGAACTTTTTTTTTTTAAACCAAATATTCTTTAAGGAGGAATGCTTTGTAGACTTGGCAGATTTTTTGATTGTAGATATGATCATAACTCTTTATTCCTAAATATATTTTACAGTTATCAGAATCAAGTTAAGCATATGAGGGTTTGTACAGCAGATAATGGGCAGCACTTCTATTTATCTTCAACCAAATATTTTAAATCTATTGTTGTAAGTATTAAATATTTTATCAATTTTTTCAATAGTATGTTCATTTTAGTGTTTGAAAGTCATTAAAATATAAAAAAGATCCATGTAACAGTTGGTAAACTATAGTTATTGTAAATTTTATACTGTTATAAAATATTTATTAATTTAAATATGTAACATAAACTGGGGGCTACCCAAGTTGTGTATAACACTACAACAATAAGTTACAAGAAATTTAACTTCCCTTGAAGATTCTTTTTTAAATCTATTATTGCAATGTCATATTACCACAATGCCATACTGAGTGAAGAGTGGAAAAGGGTCAAGTTAGTGAGTGGGACTAATATAAATTACTAATTATATTATCAATAGCAAGTAATGTTTGGCTTTACAATATTATGATTGAAAATACTAAAGTCTTAATACATTTTTTAAACTACTGTCTTTGGAGTTTTAAGAGTATAAATTTTTATTTTAGGAATTGATCAACTGGTATCAAGAAAACAGCTTAGCGGAAAGTTTCAATGGCTTACATGTAACACTCATGATTCCTTATAAAAAAGCCTTAGTGGGATTGAACAATGAAAGTAAAAACCCTTTAGAAAAATAATAATAATTTTGCATATTTCGAGTGTTATTTTAACATTTAACCAATACATTTTGTTTTTGTCAGGCATTTTAGGTTATGCCGAAGCTCTGTATGATTTTCATGCGACTTCTCCAAATATGTTGTCTCTTCAAAAAGGTGATCGGATAGCCGTGCTAAGCAAAGCAGGAAATCAGAAAGGATGGTGGAAAGGCCAAATTGATGAAAATGTAAGATTCTGATGAAATTTTAATATTTCAAAAGTTAAGGTGCCATTCGTGTTCTTTTGTTTTACATTTAACCATTTCAGTTTTGCTTTCTATTATGGAAAATGAACTCAAAAGTGTTCTCTTCTCCAAAGAATTGCTTTTGTCAAATTTATTTATGGGTTGTAAAAATCTTTGATCATGGCGCTTTTGTGAGTGATATTAAGTGAATGGATATGCTTTATTCGCAATGCTGTATCGGTTAAGAAACAATGAAATGGTATTACAAAATAGTATTTGCATTTTTTCTTTCAAAACTATTTTGTTTTTTTCAGTCACGTGTGCTGAGTCTTGAGCATGAACACTTATTTTTGAATGCTCTAAATGTCTCCTTTTTCACTACCTTTTAAAATTTTAGAAGCAAATGTTTTTAAGTTATGAAGTAACCAATTTATTTATACCTAAATCAATTCAAAATTAATTTAAAGATATCAATAATTACAGCCACACTGACTTAAGGCTCACTACCCAAAATAAAGAATTCGAACACCTTAAACAACTTTTAAACTATTGTTACATTTCTCATAAAAACACACTCTTCATAGTTCAGAGGATAGACACTAAGTATGCTAATACAATCAGGGGTCTATCTAGGTTTTTCTGTTAGGTACCTATTTTGTGAAAATTTAGACATAATTTGTAAAAATTATAATAAAAAATTAACTCAAAAATGTGGTAAAAATATAGATTTATCGTTTCTGATGGGATACAAAAAAATGTTAAGAAAAAGTATTTTGTGAAACTACCGTTTTTCCTAAAGTTGAATTTGTGAAGGTACCGCTAAACAGTAGTAAATTTGGCCTGGACAGACCCCTGACAATACAGATAATATTTTATGCTGCGAAACCAGACACACTTTTTCTGAACACACTTTTTGTGTATATGTATTCTTGAATCTCAAAACAGTAGGGGTACTTCAGTCTGAAAAACATGGTCCCAATAGTTTAGTCATGAAAGTAGTCAAAAGTTTAATTCTCTTAATCTTAGTTTTTTATGTGATTTATCATATTTCTGGAAATTTTTTGCAGAACTAAAATTTCTTTTTGCATGCTTGAGTATTAAATAATTTTTAAATAATGATTAATGCTTTATTTAAGTTTTATGTTGTTGTACTTCATTTACGTCGCACTAGAGCAACACAATGGGCTATTGCCGACGGTCTGGGAAACATCCCTGAGGATGATCCAAAGACATGCCATCACAATTTTGATCCTCTGCAGAGGGGATGGCACCTCCGTTTCGGTAGCCCGACGACCTGTGCGCGAAGTCGAGCACTTTACGGTAGCACCGTTTAATGAGGACCAATACCGCACACCCTCGGTCCCTACGCAGACTGATCCAAGTGGTCACCCACCCGCAC